CGCGGGGCCGCGGGCTGGGCAGGGGCCGGGAGCCGCGCGCGCCCCGGCCCGTGCAGCATCCACCCGCTGTGGGCCTCGGGAACCGGCAGTCTCTTCCTAACGAGTTCGGTGTCTTCTTACTGGTGCGGTTTCTACCTTTCCCTGCTTTCTATCGTTCGATGTTGAATTAAGATTGGCAGGACCGGAGAGGTTGTTGGGGATGCAGATCGGCACCTTCTAGCCCCTCAACGTGTTCAAAAAGTTGCCATTGTGTGTATTTCCGTAGAGGACTGAGAAGTTCCTAGGGGAGGCAGGCCCGTTGGTTGCATCCCCGAGGATACACATTTGAGTGTGTTTCTCTTCTACTTGGCTCTGCGTGGAGGGGGGTTCGTAGGGTGCTCGTGGCGTTTCCTGCGCCGGGCTGCGGTTCTTACAAGCTGTGAAAACTACTACGGGCTCTCGGGTTACACGATTGCTTTTCTCGTTCCGGCAGGTGGCTTCAGTAAGTTCCAAGCCGAGTTCGCCCTGCACTGCGAGACCAACCTAGACGGCTCGTGTAGCAGCAGCTCGCCGCCCTTGCCGGTGCTCGGGCTCGGGGGCCTGCGGATCAGCTCCGACTCTTCCTCCGACATTGAGTCTGACATTGACCGAGACCCCAATAGTGCCACGGACTCGGATGGCAGCCCGCTGTCCAACAGCCAGCCTTCCTTCCCTGTGGAGATCTTGCCCTTCCTCTACTTGGGCTGTGCCAAGGACTCCACCAACTTGGACGTGTTGGAGGAGTTTGGCATCAAGTACATCTTGAACGTCACCCCCAATTTGCCGAATCTTTTTGAGAACGCAGGAGAGTTTAAATACAAGCAAATCCCCATCTCGGATCACTGGAGCCAAAACCTGTCCCAGTTTTTCCCTGAGGCTATTTCTTTCATAGGTGAGACTAATTAACAGTCGTAGCTCTGACTTTTAAATGCAAAACTCCCAGCCATTCATAGAGTTTAAGCTGTTAATCGTTCTTGCTGCCTGCTAATTTGTCGGACTGCAGGTCTCTAATGTTTCTAGGGCGTTCTTAATTCTGGTTTATTTTCTTGCTATGGAAGGAAAAAGTGCATTTTGATATGGCTGCAGACCACAGGTGTACTTGACACGCTCTCTGTTTCATAAGTCTTTGAATTCAGTCATTTGAAGCGGGGGTCGTTCATAATCAGACAACCAATTTTTCCCACAGTCTTTGGACTGGGGGATGGGGAGGGAGGGCTAGAGAGAATTTCTCACTGTAAGCAGGAATTCTAGCATTGCCTTTTAATTTAATAAGACGTGGAAGTTATTTTAGGACATCAAGTTAGTTGTTGGAAAGCGGTATGAATGCTAAATGTTATCCAGTTGAATGATACCGTGATACTGGTAACAGCCAGACAGTGTGGGTAACCTGAGCCCAGCAGGAAGAACTGTGGGCTGGAAGCCTGGGAGAAGTGAATCTCCAGGCATTGTAATGCATTTCCTATTACAAAGGAACTCATTTTCAGGCCATGTCGACATCCTGTTCCTCCTAATGGGCTGTCCCCTGTGACTTCCCTCTCTCTTTTAAAATGCCTGAATACCTCCATTGTTAGCTGCACAACAGTTGGAGAATAATTTAATAGACCCTTGCAGTCTGCTTGTCTGTATAAAAGGCATTCACGACCATATTGCAGGGTTTCTGGTATTCACATGCTGAGGCAAAGAATGCACACATTAAGGAGTTTTTTGTTGGCAGAAACTTAATACAAAAGCTCCCTTTTCAGAAAATATCTGAAATATGCAATTGTGTCCAATGTACGTTTTATCTCAATGATACATTTTCTGCTGCCTGAAGGGTTCAACTGCCACACACAATTATTTTTTATCTTTTTTCCTTTTAAACCCAGTTTTTAGACTGATCATTCACAAAGGGTGGTTTTCAGTCTACTGAAACCTTGCCTTTCTTTTTGTGTTTACAGATGAAGCCCGGGGCAAAAACTGTGGTGTTTTGGTGCATTGCTTGGCTGGCATTAGCCGCTCAGTCACTGTGACTGTGGCTTACCTTATGCAGAAGCTCAATCTGTCAATGAACGATGCTTACGACATTGTCAAGATGAAGAAATCCAACATCTCTCCTAACTTCAACTTCATGGGCCAGCTGCTGGACTTCGAGAGGACGCTGGGACTCAGCAGCCCCTGTGACAACCGAGTTCCGGCACAGCAGCTCTATTTTACTACTCCCTCCAACCAGAATGTCTACCAGGTGGACTCCCTGCAATCCACGTGAAAGGCCCCATGCTCCTCCTCACTGGGATGTGTCTGTTCTTCAGCAGTTTCTCTTGGCAGCATCAGCTGGGCTGCTTTCTTTGTGTGTGGCCCCAGGTATCAAAATGACACCAGCTGTCTGTATTAGACAAGGTTTCCAAGTGTGGAATTGGTTATTACTGAGGGAGAGATTTCCTCCATTCTCTCTGGAAGACCAGGATGTGCTATGTAGATACAGACAGTAGTTTGCTCCGCACCCATGTGTACAGCCTACCCATGCAGGGACCGGAATTCCAGGACTTCCAGGTATATAGGGTAGGACCAAATGGTAGGGTAGGAGCATGTGTTCTTTAGGGCCCTGTATGCCTGTTTCCTTTTGCATTTGGAACTGACTATATATTGTCTTCAGTGAAGACTGATTCAATTTTGCATATAGAGGAGCCAAAGAGAGATTTCAGCTCTGTATTTGTAGTATCAGTTTGGAAAAAAAAAAAACTGATACTCCATTTGATTATTGTAAATATTTGATCTTAAATCACTTGACAGTGTTTGTTTGAATTGTGTTTGGTTTTTTCTTTTATGGGTTTAAGAGAAATCATCCAAAGGGAGAAAGAGCAATATGTCACTTCTACTGATACTCCATTTGATTATTGTAAATATTTGATCTTAAATCACTTGACAGTGTTTGTTTGAATTGTGTTTGTTTTTTTCTTTTATGGGTTTAAGAGAAATCATCCAAAGGGAGAAAGAGCAATATGTCACTTCTTAAAACAAAAAATAGAAAATTTTGCTCTTTTCTAATCCAAAGGGTATATTTGCAGCATGCTTGACTTTACTGTACCAATTCTGATGATGTTTTCATGGACACTATTATCACTAAGACCTTGGTATGGTGCAGTCTACAGTCTCTTTCATATATCTTCCTCGTGATATTTTCCTCTTAATGTAGTTTGACTATGCCTTACCTTTGTAAATATTTTGGCTTGTGTTGTCTCAAAGGGGATATCTCGGAAAGACACCAAAATCATGGGCTCACTTTTTTTTTTTTTAAACTTCAACTGTGCTAAACAGTATATTACCTCTGTACAAAATTCTTCAGGGAGTGTCACCTCAAATGCAATACTTTGGGTTGGTTTCTTTCCTTTTTAAAAAAATTTGTATAAAACTGGAAGTGTGTGTGTGAGCATGGGTACCCATTTGATAGGTGAAATGCATATGATTGTGAAGAAGGGAGAGTTAAGTTGTTCCATTATGTTCATGATGTAAAATTTTGAGCTGAAATTTATTATAAGAATGTAAAACCTTAAATTATTAATAAATAACTATTTTGGCTATTGAATGTGTATTCTTAAAAAAAAATCTTTCCTTAATCGTATGTACATGTGGAGTGACACATTTTAGAAATTTTTAAGTTGGGGACTGATATTGGCTTGTAGGAACAGCAGGACAAAGTTCTTATTTTTTAAGCAATTCTGGAATATTTTTCAGGTGCAGTTTATGAAATCCAACTTCTGTTTCAAATAAAGATGACATCACAGAATCGACTGACTCTATCATGCATGTGGACAATACTTTCTGTGAATATATTTCCAGCTTATTTAAGGTTTTAATGTCCCTGAAAATAAAGTGATAGAGCATACCTTGCTGAGGTATAAGGTTAGGATATTCATTAACAGCCATAGAGGTGTACCTAAAATAACAAGTTGGCAACCATATGTTAACCTCTCTATCCTTCAGGATCCTCTGTTCAATAATGCTTTAGACAAGCCAGGAAGAAAGTAGGGATAATTCTTTTCCCTGTCTGTTGTTACTGTCTGGCAATTTTACCTACAAGTTATCCTTGTGCTGGAATAATAAATTTATCCAGAGTGGTGTCTCCCTTTCTCCCTCACATGTGCACTGCAAGGCATATCTAAGCTTTCCTACTAAGCCTGGATGTAGCTTTAGAATTTTCCATTGGTGCTTGAAATGAAACTTTGCCATTTGTTCTTAACTGGTTTAGAATATGGGCCAGATACCTCTGTTGAACCATATGAAGGAATTATTTTGAATAGTTTCTTCCTTAAAGGCTTAATATCCTGTCATTTTCCTTGGGAATTCCTCTCTCCTCACCCCAATACACAAACCAAAATAAAAGTAAAAGGCAGGTGTATGGAATCAAAAGAACTGGAACATATATTTTGTGCTCTTTTCATATGAGCTCAGTCCCTTTATCTGAATGGGGGAGAAACACAGCTTTTCACCCACATGGCACATGTGAGATGTCAGTTGGACTTTGGTAATCTACATTTTAGGAGGCTCTTGTTCGGTGGCAGTCACATCAAACTGTCTAGTGTGATTTTTAAACAACTAAGTATAAAAAACAACATAAATAACTGCAGAAAAATACCAAGTCAGTTTCTCCTATTTGGGTGTCCCAAGTCAGCAGGAGCACAGAAAGGAGAAGTGGATTGCAGTTCAATTTGGCTCGTGTTAATCCAGTTCTGAACGGTTTCCGCTCCTGGCATTCCCTAAACTGCCTGTTCAAAGTAGGGATTTGCAAGCAGTGTTAGCAATTTCCTGTCCAGCTGCAGCTCAAGTAGCTGGGTGCTCCCCCACCCTTTCTTTTCTCTGTTTTTTTTTTCTCTTTCTTTTTTTTTTCTTTTTCTTTCTTTCATTTTTTTTTTATTTTTTAAAATATGGGCTGTGGATAATTTTAGTGCATTTCCTCTTTGCGGATTCTCATCTCTGTCCTCCTGGAACCTGCATACATTGAGTTCCTGCTGCTCGTTCATGCCGACAGCTGGCCTCCCCAGCACTTCCTCTCGTTTCACTGTGGGTTTGTTGTTTGTCAGTCCACTTCTGAAATTAATAATGTTTTCTGGCCAAGTGCCACAAGCCATTATCACAAAGGGGAAGTAACACATATGAATAGCAGGAAGCCATGCAGGGTCACAGTGTGAGCTGAACCTGTGGAGGGAGCCTGGCCCATTCAGCAAGTGTCTGATGGTGATTTGGGGAAGGAGAGCTCGCTGCATTTAAGCAGCTCAAGCTGTGAAAAAAAAAAAGTTGCCAATAAATTGGGAGCAAATGGTCTTTGTCACCAGTCTGAATAAAGGAGAAGGAGCAAGAAGGGCTTAGGGCCCCCATAAAGTTGCAATGTTTAGGGTTTCTCCCCCCCGTTCTCCTGGCATATTGTTTCAGGAGGCTGGTGAACAGAGGGGGGCCTGTTTCTCTCTAGTCCCACAAAAGGACTCATGTTAAATGGGTGGTTTTATGGTTCACATAGGTCAGAAGATTCAAAGAGCTATTCTCTTTCCCTCGTTTTCTTCTGTGGAAGGTGGAAGGTTGTAACTGGCAGTGTGGGCCCCCACCTCGCCCTGTGCCTCCCTTTCTCCCAGCCATACCGGGGCCCCTCTGGTTCTTTTGTGTTTGCAGGAGCCGCGTGAAGGCGATCATTTTGCATCTTGGAGTTGGGCTCGCTTCCTGAATGGAGCCGTACGGTTACTAGGGCAACCTTTGCCAGCAGCTGCAGCTCTGAGGCCTCCCTCCTCACCTGCTGTCCCCATTAGTGGCTTCCTCAGGTCTCTGAGAAAGCGCTACCTTTCCTGGCCTTCTGGGGGAGGGAGCTTTGGGAGAGGAGGTTATCTGTAGGTTTGGTGGGAGCCACAGGAGACTTAGAAAATACACTGGTTAATGGTACGAACTGGATTAAAATTGGAATGAAAAAGGGTAATCTGGGGATAAAAATACCAACACAGTCTTTAAAGGAATGAAAATGGAGATTTGCCCTGACCTGACAATTAGGAGACCTGAACTCTAACTCCTGTTCTTTTGCTCATGAATCAGGTAGCCCTGAGCAAGGAACCCAGCCTCGCTGAGTTTCTTTTTCCTTGCCTGTAAAATGAGGGAGCCCTTACTTCTCCTTCTAAAACTCTCTTATAATTCCAGCCTTCTGGTCATGGATTGGTGACACTTATTAGGTGATAAAATAAGGTGCAGAGCTGGTGAAACAAACAACTAACATGTATGATGGGTACCAGATACTATACTTTGTGTATAATATTATCTCATCTAATCCCCCAAACAGCTCTGTGAGATAGGTCCTACTATTATCCTTATTTTCCAAAGAGGAAATTGAAGCAGAGAGAGGCCATAATGCCTACAGTCACCAATATGGGACACCCAACACACACCGTTCCAGAAGATGTGCGATCCACTGCCTATTACCACCCCTGGGAATGGAGCTTTGAACCTTTAGCTCTTTCTGCTATAAACTGCTTCTCATCAGTATTTGCTCCTCGTTATAAAATCCCATGATGTTGGCTAGGAAGTGATGTCCCATTTTACAGCTAAGGAAGTAGAGGAAGCAGCAGTTAAATGATCTGCCACATCAAAGCTGAATTCAACAGCCAAATCATGGAGAAGGCCCCTAGCCCATGTGCTGTCTTCCACCTGGAAGCTTCCATCCCCCTCTCCACAGACACGTTGCCCTACCTTAAGCTCATTAGCACATACATTATAAAACTGATTTTCCTAAGGCTCTCTGAAGTGGCTAGACTTATACTCAGCTCTCAGGATTACGTAAGTAAACAAGCCCCAAAGAAGTTCACTTCTCACTGGGATCCCTCCTGGAGGAAAGCTGGGAGGCAGAGACGGGGCAGAGGGAGGCAGAGGGAAAGTGAGAGGGGCAGGAGGGAGAGGACGTCTGGTGGAGGTCTGCACAGTAAGTGAGGTAAACTGGCCAGCCAATTAGCAATGCAGATGGAAGGGGTGGAGGTGGGGGCAGGGGACACAGCAAGGGCAGGTCATGTGGTGGCTGGCTGTACGAACGTATCCTTGAAAAGTCCTCTGAAAAAATCAGTCGTCAGATGTTAGACTGCTTCCGAAGGGTTACTTGGGGTGTAAATTTATATGCAGTTCCTGATACAGCCGTAATTGTTTTCCGAAAGATCCTGCACGACTTTCAAATGTCCTCCCTCTCCTCGTGTTCTTATGCTCCCTTAGCAATTGGCCCCGAATCAGCCCAGGTTTGGTGAACGAATCTTCAAACTTCTTTAAAGTCCAACATTGATTTCCTAAGAGTCATGAAGGACACAGAACAAAGTTCAGACAATTCACAAATATTTATCCAGGCCTTGATGTGCATTGCACTGGTCGATGAAACAAGGTTAAAATAAAAGGCAATCAGAAACTTAGCAGGAGCCTTTAAAGGCTGAAGCCAATGTCCTGATACAAGATGGAATCACTGAATCTCTCTGCTAGTGCCCCAAATCAAAGAGAAACCCTCAAGCAGCTATCCCGCAGGTTCTTGTGTGTCTCTATCTCCTTCAACCAGCCAACTAACATTTCAGACCCTACATTTTATTTTTTTCTGTAGGAAGGGATTAGTAGCCCACCCACTTCCCTACTTTCTCATGGAAAATACCTCTAGAGAAGATGTACACATCCACTGCCTATAACTGACATAATAGAAAAGTTTCGAACCATCACACCTCCAAAACTGAACTCTCAGACACACAAAGGAAAAGTGAAGAAATATCATACATTATTTGATAATGATGTCCTAAAAAGCACAAAGCCAGTCTGGAAAAGGCTGCTCCTAAG